GAGAGAGAGAGAGAGGCAGTGTTTGCGTGTACTCGTATATTTTTGATTCCTCTTACTAATTATTTCTAGCCACCTGAACCACCCACACACACAAACTGTCACACACGAGCTCTTAGACGTATCTCTTCCTCTTTCTGTCTGTCTGTCACACCACATTTGTCCTCATGTGAAAACTCCCTTATTACTCCCCGTGCTAGTCAACAAAGTAACATCTGTGTGTGTCTTCTCTGTCCTGATCACCACCCTGGGCAACAAACGCACATCACAGCAGTTACTTTCAACTATGTAGCAAATGAGAATATGTAGCTAGTGGATGAGTCACCAAGCAGCATCCCGCACGGAGTGAGCAGCAGAACTCATTTATTTGCTTAGAAAAAGCCTCTGCGTGCATTTGGTCATTTCACTCATTACAACAGTTAATTTAAAAGATTTCATTTTTAAAGGTTTGGCTCTCTCTCTCTGAGTGCTTGTTCTAGTTCTCCCTCTCTCTTGCTCGCTATCTCTCGCTCGCTCTCGCTCTCGCTCTCTCATTCTCTCTTTATAGAGTGCTTAACAAAATTATTAGACCACCTGTCACAAAAGAAGAAATCTGTGAAAAACTTGATTAAAAATTACTGAGTTAACTGAACTGGATCTGCATTTTTATACCTAATATCGAGCCGGTACATTGGACTTCTCTGAACAGTCAGAAATTAAAGCATGACATTAAACAACTAAAACTAATTTTTCTGTTCAGGTATCCAAGTAAATAATTGTTGTTTGGCATTTTAATCAAAATATAATAATATGATTAATTATTGTTTTTCTAATTTGTAAAACTGTAAATTAAAAACAATTCATATTTATAATATACATATAATTATATTTTAAAATTAGAAATATCATTTTGATTAAAGAGTGTAGACATACTGGTGGATTAACCATTACAAAAACATAAAACATGATACTGGTAATTATCCTTACTGTTCATTTAGAGCAGCTGTAGCATAAACCTTACATTGGGACGTGGTCTAATTAATCTGTTAAGCACTGTATGTATCATAGACAGTTAGTTCAAATGTATCAAAACATATCCATCACCCACAACATGCTTTTATACAGAAGACTCACATTCTCTTTCAAACACACATTTACACCCTCAGACAAGTGTCTGCCCTTCAGAAAAAAGCTTTTTAATTATTTTTCATTGATTTCAGGGCTCTGATAATCTCTATCAAAGATCCTGCTAATAGCTTGGAAACTACAAGGGAGAGGAAATGAAGAATGTATCATGTTGGATTTACTACAATTTTCAACTTGTCTGTCTTTCATATTTGAGTAACAACTTGCAAAGACCTACAGAAAAACAAAATGCTAATTAGATTTAAAACAATACGTTTTTGAAAATAATAGGCATTTATTATCTTTTTTAAAATAATATAATTTCTCAGAGTTATTGGTCTTCCTCTGGCCTCTCAGTTTATCATGTTCAGTCCCTGATATGCAAAATATCTTTAACAAACTCAGTTCACACAAAACCTCTTTTAATCAACTTAACTGTAATTTAACTTTTTCAGCAGCTATAACGTTCACTGATCTGATATTTGGATATTTGCATATGGATATGTAAGCCGTGGTTGACATTGTCCTGTTTTTTCACTTGTGTCCTGAAGCTTTGTCCTCTCTCACCTCCAGAGGCTGAAATGTCTCAGCACACAGTCTCAAAAATGTCAAAGCACATTATGTCCAATTATTGTAACCTTTTGCGGTGCTCAAGCCAAAAACATGAACCTTTATTTATCTTTTAGTCCCTGTTGGTTTCCAGCTTAGTTCGACACCCATTAGAATTTCCTTGGAAGCTGATGATTTCATCATGACCTATTTTCAGTGGGAAAACTTTGTGGGATTTCCTTTACCTTTAGGATTAATTTCATCAAGATAATTTCCCCTGTCATCAGTGCCAGAGAATTACTAAGCAGATGGGAAAAGTTTTGTGAGTTATGTTTCAAGCCTTGCTTTTGACTCCAAGATAATTCTCGAGATTTTTTAGGTTAGAAGCTCTGCATTTTTAGACCCGAGTATTTAAAATAACTGTAAAACAAAAAAATCATTCCTCACTAGACTCTGACTCAAACGCACACACATACAGATCACAGCAGTGTCTATATCTGTGCACGTCTCTCTTTCTTCCTCTGTCTGATCTCAGGTACGTTTTTCCTTGTTTGAACTGACTGTTGAGACAGCACTGCTGTCTTTCTGAAAGGCCACACGTCTGCCTGTCCTCTGCTGTCTGCCTTGAACGCCTCTCAAATCACTTTAAGATCAGTATTATTGAGTTAGGGTTGGTTGGCTAGAGATGGAGACACATGGAGGATAAGGAGGTGGGGGGTGGGGGCATCTGGAAAGCAAGGATGAAGGTTTGGTAAGTAGGTATGTTTACGTGTGGTTTCCATGCACACATAAATAGCCCCTAATCATGATGGGAAATTCAAAACTATGTGTTTGTGAAAACATGAAGTGCAATTCACAGTTTCACTTACAGCTTTTCACTTCAAGCTTCCTCCAGATAAAAAATTCAGTCAATCCCCCCACCTGCTAATGCCTCTCAGAAGAAAGAATTTGTTGGGATCCTTTTTGTTAATATTCAGAAAGACAACTTCCTGTTGAAGAAGTAACTTTACCATGAGAAGTTGAATTTTTTTCTTCTGTTTTTCAAAAGAGAAAAAGAGAAGAAACATAGAAACAGTTGACATTAGAGGGAGTTCCCTCCTGTCTCCATATTCCTGTCAGACTGTCCAGTTTCTAGCATCATGTGCCCCACCGCAGCCCCCTCTTTGTCTCCTCCTAACCCCGTTTCTTAGCAACGAGCATGCTGTGCCGCCACAGAGACACAGGTGATGATGTCACTGGAGATCAGAGAAAACGCATCCAACAAATAGACAGGCACATATGCACTCACACATTAAACATCTGAAGAGACATACGCCGAGGCATTTTTTATTCTTACAATACCGTTTTTGTAACACAAACTTTTTCAGCAGTATGAAATCAGACCTTAACCTAGCTTTGTGTTAAAACGGCGAGAACTATTCTGTGTGATCAGTGAACACACCCTCACACAAGCCTGGGGTCCAGGTGTTCCTGGGAGGGTGAGGAGCCTAGACATGGTGTGAAGAGACATGTCAGGACAGGAGTAAAAACAGAGGAAAGACAAAGAGCAGAGATAAATAATGTAGTCTGAGAATTCAGTGAGGGGAAAAAAGAGATATGCTTGTAAGCTGATGCTTTAACCTAGTTTAATGTACTGTAGCAGAATAATTAAATAGATTTATACATCAGTAGAATTATGAGTAATATTAATACCAATAAGAAGAGTGGTCCTATGAAGAATGCAGCCACAGTTCTGTTTTAAATATGGCTTTAGACAAATCAAGTCACTTATTTGTTTCTGTGATCCATTAGGATCCCACCAGCTTCAGCTCCAACCATAGATACTATTCCTGGCGTCATCCATACATTCATATGCATGTGCGGACTTAAACGAACCCACTCTTCTTAAATCATTGAAGTTCATAGAAACCTTACAATAGGACATTAAAACAAAATGCAATGATGAAATTTCCAATGATCCAAAGAACATTCATTCTTTAATGTCACTTCAATTACAGCCTTGAGGAAAATGAAGTTCATCTCAAGGAGTTGGATGCTTTGGAGCAAAGGCATATATATGTATGTATATATAAAAAACA